AAATGGATTCTGCAGCTAATAACATGCATTGTGAAGAATGTTGGAATCATAAGTCGATGAGGACTTGGAGACCAAGCAATCTAATTTATGGCAAGTATAGTTTATGGCAAGTTGGTCATAAGTTTCCTAGTCTAATACAAGTTGGTTTGTTAGGCTATATATACATGTTCATAATCGAGTTTATGATTATGTGAATAGATTGTAAAACATCAGTTTTGAGTTAGTTTCCGATTAATCAAAGAGTTATTTTGGTTATTTTGTTTTGCATTCTTGTTTTCTAAACTTTAATTGGTATCAGAGCATAGGGTTCGTGAGGACGTAGGACGGCCGGTTTGAGAGTCGGTTTTAAGAAAAGTGTAGCCCTTTGTTGTGGGGCTGACGCAGTAGGAACCGGGTTTGGTTTAAGGGGGTGTGGATTGTTTTTGAGCGCGAGTTGAGGCATCTCAACAACAACCCCGACTTCTCTTGATCGGACTTGTTCTACGGTAGAGAAAGACTAACCGGATGCGCAGAATAAACGAACGGGAAGACATAAAGCGGGCAGCTTTTATTCTGTTCGTTTTGTGGGTGACGGAAGATGGTAAAGGTGGTCGTGACCTTGTCTTGTTGTTCGGTGGAAGAGTGCTCTCAGAACAAGCTTGATTAAAGAGGTCGAGGTTGTCAAAAGAGAGATTAAGACATTGATCGGTTGAAATCAAATGGTAGAAAAATCAAAGGGTTGTGTTTACATTAATTGGACAACAATAACTAGCAAGGTAGAAAGTTCGAATTGTTCGTGATAAGGGGATACCGGCATAGGTGCGTGAAAAGCGGACAGGAAGGATTCGTCAAAGCAGGTGGCTTTGGATTCAGTTCGTTTGGCATGATTGAAAGAAAACGGTGAAGCAGGTGGCTTTATTTTCTTGGTCGGTGGAGATGCCTCTTTGAGCAAAGGTGATCGGAACAAAGGAAGAGATTGGACAAACAACACGGTGTGAACATTATGGCGGTGGAAGTTCAAATCGGATGGCTTTGGATCTGGCCGAGGAGAAGTCGTGAATCCGGGAAAAGTCTAGATGGTAATGAACGTATCCAACGGGATGCCATGTTACATGTTACGTGTGTTGTGAATAATCAAAATGGTACGGATGACTTTAGACGTGACCGAGGTGGAGGCCGGGTGTCCGGAAAAGTTGAGAATCGAGATGGTTCGGAAAGAATGTGATTTTTCAGAAGTGACGGCAACGACGAGCCCGTATTTTAAATACGGATCGGGGTTGAAGAAATCTATAGAAGGACTTAGAGATTCGGGGGTGATTGTTGGAATCCTAAGTCGATGAGGACTTGGAGACCAAGCAATCTAATTTATGGCAAGTCTAGTTTATGACAAGTTGGTCATAAGTTTCCTAGTCTAATACAAGTTGGTTTGTTAGGCTATATATACATGTTCATAATCGAGTTTATGATTATGTGAATAGATTGTAAAACATCGGTTTTGAGTTAGTTTCCGATTAATCAAAGAGTTATTTTGGTTATTTTGTTTTGCATTCTTGTTTTCTAAACTTTAAAGAACAGATCACTCTCGCTTTAAGATTCCTTTTAATCTTGAAAATAAATCGGTGTGCAAGATTACAAGACAAACTGGTACTACTCAACTACTTCGGATTACAAAATTAATCATATAGGACAAAGCGTTGATGGCTAAAAGACATGTGTTGGAGGCAGTTGACTGTACAATGAAAGATATCACTGGGGTGAGGCTCCCATTTGGTGGAAAGGTAAGGGTTTTGGGAGGTGATTTCAAACAAGTGTTGCCGGTCGTGAGACGTGGAACACGAGCACATATTGTGAATTCTAGCATATAAATGTCGCCTCTTTGGAACATGAGCACAAACTGAGCATGAAAACTTTATTCACATCCCTGATGATATGGTAATTCCCTTCACTGAAAAAGAAAGTCATTGAATGCTCTGATTGGTGCAATCTTTCCATCCTTGGAAATTAATAGATCTAAATAAGATTATATTATTTTGCGTGCAATATTATCAACAAGAAATGATAATGTCGATAAGATTAATGATTATTTGATCGGCCGATTCCATGGAGTAGAGAGAATTTACTATAGTTTTGATGAAGCCAAAGACGATATAAATAATTTCTATCTTGTGTAATTCTTGAATCTTGAACACGCTCAATGTTAGCGGTGTATAAAGAAGTGTTGCATGATTATTAGTACACAATCAATCATGTGTTTATATACATTTATAAAGAATTCTAACTTTTCATTTTTAATTTTTATTGAATTCGTTTATGCAAGAATGACTCTTATTGATAATTGTTTATATGTAGTAAAATATTTACGTAAAAGAACTAATCACTTCTAGAAACTAATTTCTAGAAAACCAATTCGCATCCGTCGATTGGCACGGGTAAACGGCTAGTGTGTGTGTGTGTGTGTATATATATATATATATATATATATATATATATATATATATATATATATATATATGAGTAGGATCAAATGAGAACACCTAAAAGGTTGAGAACGCGAGAGCAGATATGGACCATCTAATTTTTAAGATGTGTGGCTATAATTAATTGTTATTTTTCTAATTATTAATACATTTAAATTTTAATTTTTAAATTAAAGAAAATTATAAAGGCTATTAAGGTAAATAAGCATTACCCTAATTTTGTAAACTCCTATAATTACTCTCTGCCTCTCTATTTCTTGACCTAATCTCATAGAGCATTAAATCGACATCTTCAACATATCACCGCCTCATCCCTACGCCAGCATCAGACCTCGCCATCACCAAAACCCTCCAAGGCTTCAACGCCAAATCGCCCCCTGCAACTCGATCTCCAATCGTTCTCCTACAACTCGATTTTAGTTCACCGATATTCATTGGAGATTCTAGACCTGCATCCTTGAATTCGATGAAACAGAAGCGGAAGGGAAGAGAAGATGATGGCGAAGATGTTGAAGATGACCGCATTGAAGAAGAACGGAGAAACAGCAAGAAATACAAAGGGGACGAAGAGAACAGTGGAGCAGGATGGATTTAAAAAAATTAGCGGTTCATGAAAGGAGGATCGAATTCGATATGGAGGATCGAATGAGGTATTATTCACTTGTAGTACCCTGACTTCATCTTAAATTTTCTCATAATTGACGCGTCTATGAGGAATGTGATATAATCGGAATCTTTGACTCATTTGAGATAATTTTTAAGTTCAGTTTTGATTAATAGATGTTTATTAGGTCTTGGCAGTTCACGTTCATACTCTTACCTGTGTTCTTTTTTTCCGCTAGTTAAAAACCATATTTAATTTCTATATGTTCTGAGAATCTATGAGGTTTGAAGCATTCTTGATCTATTGCTCTATGATACTTTGTTTACTGCGGTTCCCATTTTAGCACTAGAATTCTGATCTTCTGTCTGCTTCTCTGTTCGTCTCCCCTGATGCATTAATCTTAGAGAAATGATTCAGAATTTCATATGATTTCATTTTCATCCCTTCTTATTGTTCTAACTCTTGTTTATATATTATGAATGTGACTGTTAATTTATCAATATAAATTTAGTTGTAATCTTATATGAATAAAAAGTCAAATGTCTTATTTTGCAGTTAATCATCGATGAATATAAGTATATTGTAACTGCATGATTTTATACATTAATGATTTATGTTTTGAACATGTGTAATTTAGAGCTTGATGTTTCGAAGAAGGATAACCGTAAAGCATGGAAATGCAGCGCTCTTCGTTTCTATATGTATGATAGCAACAAGAAAATTGGAAGAAAAAAAACAATGTTATAGGAATTTATTTATGATTCACTTTATATTCATTATGAATATAACTACTGAAAATATAGGAATTTAGATGTATTTTGTATTATGGTAAATGTATTCATGTATGATTAGAGTTGTATTCATTTATGATTGTAATTAGAGGCGTATTTATTTGTAATGAAATGATGAATTCTTAAACATTTTTTGATATCAATTGATGAACAAAAAACAAAAGACAAATCCAGTCACGACATTTTCATTTATGAATATGACACTATTTGATAAAATTAAATCATAAAATTAGTAAATTGTTATATATTTTTAGTCAATTGTATACTCAATAAATTATTTTAATATTTATTCATTTAAGGACAAGAATCACGTAAAGCAAAATAAAATCATTTGAAATTGATAATTTTTTTTCTCTTTCATTAATGATATAAAGAAAATGGAAAAAAAAATCCTTTTTTTGGTAACAGTTAATTAGAATCCCAAAAATTTAGGAAAATATCATTTTATTTTATTTTTTATAATTTAATTAAAAAGACAAGTTTACCTATATGCCCTTATATATTGATTGGTTCATAACCGTTCTCGCGTTCTCAACCTTTTAGGTGTTCTCATTTGATCATTTCCCTATATATATATATATATATATATATATATATATATATATATATATATATATATATATATATTATTTTTTTAGTACAAATTAAAGAAAATAAGCTATAAATAGTAGCACCTAGTTGTCTTCGATCACATAATTCCCATCAGACTGCTTGGGGAAAATAAAAATTCTCCCTTAGTTAACTCTAATGGTTGTGGCTATCAAAATCGAGAAACCTTATGAGTGATTTTGCCACTCATCTTCTAGACTAATCAAAGTAACAGTTTACTGTCTTTAATTATCTTTTATACTGCTATTAAATAGCTTATAGGAAGAGAGGACTTCATAATGCTTTTGGTTGCCGCATCTTATTTAATATGAAACAATGCTTAAATAGCTTACAAAACAGATAGAAAAGGATTACTAAGATAGGCACAAAAGAACTAGGTTGCTTAATAATTAAGAAGAAGAGATTAAAATGATCTACAAAATACGTTTCAACCAGGTACCTCCATCCTACCTGTTGCACTCTTAATCTGACTCTTTCATATAATACATTCTTAGGCAATTAAAATATATCCATTTATAATGACACTCATTATTGATATCTTCACATCTGAGATAACAGTTTGGCCATCATTCCACGGGACTGACACTTCGCCACCAAGGGTTTAGCTTTTGGTGCGATCAATCCTACTCCTGCGGTCATGTCAATCATCTCGTTGGTCGGTCTTTCCCACTCGAAGCATTGAATAAGCGTAGCCATCGTCAACCCGATCATACGCATTCCCAAGTTTTCTCCTGGACACCTCCTCCTTCCGGTCCCAAATGACATTAGCTTATAGTTATACCCATTTCCCGTACCTTTTAACCCTAGGAATCTTTCTGGCTTAAACTTTTCAGGGTCTTCCCAGTTCTTTGGATCATTTTGTATCGCCCACACGTTCATCAGTAGCATTGTACCACTTGGTATGCGGTAACCTCCCACCATACAATCCTTTCCAGACTCATGTAACAAGAGTGGAGCAGCAGGGTATATACGCATAGTCTCGTTTATTATACAACGTAGATAAGGAAGGTTCGTCAAATCTGATTCGTTAACCAGACGATCTTCCCAACACAATTGTCGATCTCAGTCTGCACTTTCTTTAGAGCTTCTGGATTGTTTAGCAAAAGCGATAACATCCATTCCATTGTTACACTCGATGTATTGCTTCCTGCTGATATTAGTACCTATCAGTATCACTAGAAAATCAGTAAACTTAGCCGTATTATATAATTTACAAAAAAAACAGAATGCTTGAATTGCAATTTCGAAGTGGAATTGTAATGTTAAAAAGAATTAAAACGATGTATATTATCATAAGTAGACTTTGACATAAAATTATTTTCTTTTGCTAAATTGCTATTAATGTTGTATATATAATCGAAATAATAGTATTAAAACATTTCTACTCATTTTTGTTGCGTTCCCAAGACCATATAAATCGTGTTTGAAATGCTATAATTGGTTCCTTGTCCGTGGACCTATTTTGCATTGACCATAAATAACATTAAAAAATCTAATTTTAATGAGTACCTGCAATAATCCCTTGATAACTTCATCGCTGTGATTTTCAGGTTCTTTTTGTTGCGACATCAGTAGAAATTCAATCAAATTATTCTTCTCATCGGAGCTACCACCCTCCGCCTCCACCACGGTTTTTCTCCTCTGCTCTTCTATCAAATCTTGCATTAACGCATGCCACTTTTCATTTAACGCCACCATTTCCTTCTCTAAGTGTTTCCCTCCCACCCACTTCCACCATGGCAAATAGTCAGACACATGGGTCGCCCCCATCACAATAAACAACTCCTGGACAAGCTCCATAAACCGCCCAGCCTCTCCCCCTTCAACATCACACCTCCTCCCGGCAATCGTCATCATCACCACATTCAACACCACCTCAAATAACACCGACTTCATCTCCATCATCCCGTCCCTTACTACTCTCGGGTACATGACATTCTTAACCAGGTGGTGCACCACTTCTGCACGAATGGTGCTAAGGGTTCGTACCTGGCAAGATGACAAAAGCTCATGGCTGACCACGCGGCGGAGGCTACGCCAGTTATCATTATGGCTTGACCAATTAATGGTGGTGTAGTCCAACCCAAGGTGTTTTCCGGCAAGCAGACGGGGACGGTTGGCGAAAGTAAGGTCGTTGGTGGTGAGGCATTCCTCCACCACTTCCGGAGACGACACTAAGAAAACCCTTCGGGCGCCCAAGCGAAGCATGAGCATCGGACCATGGCGGGCGGAGAGTTTACCTAAGGCTCGGTAGAGCGGCCGGCTTCTCAGCAGGTAAAGATGACCCACAATGGGTAAACATGGGAAGGGGCTTGGTGGTAGATTTCTGATTTTCCCTAGGGCAACTTTCATAATCCATATTACGGCAACGATTGAGAAAATTATAAAAAATATTAGCTCCATATTTATTCAGGGCTTAATTTGTTGTATATTATTCTCGTCCAAATGCTACCACATATTTATAGTGAGAGCATGGACAGAAATTAATGCTACCACTTAGGCATAAACGCGTGATTTTCCTTGAAACATCGTACCTGTCTCCATATATCGGCATCAAATCAATATATAACAAGGCGCATATATAATATTGCGTGGTCTTAAAATGAAAACATTTATCTCAAAAAAATCATGTTATTTCATTTGCAATCAATCAAACTTAGGTTGGACATAGTCTCCCCACCTTACACTCGTGTCAGGTTACTTAATCAACGATGAGGAGTTTGAATTAGAAGAAAGTGTTCATATGATGATGGGTAGCTACCAAGCGAAATTAAAGAAAAGGTCTTCTTCAAATGCATATAAGATTCAACCAAACATATGAAATGCATAAAATGGCATCAATGAACAATACAACTTCATTAAAGTGAACGATTTGCATTTGAGAAAGACAAATTAGCTAAAAAAACAAGAAAAAACACTTGAAGATAAGCAAAAGGCACCCTAGGAAAAGCCAAAGGTGAATGACTGCAAAAATATATCAATGGAAGTTTTTGATACAAAACACCAACCAACTTTGGAGATTGGAGCTCCAATTGGTTTTAATGTTGTTTGCGAACATTAAGAAAAAAGAACATTGTCAGTCTTGTTTTTTTATCATGTTTTTGTTTCATTTTTTATTTTAATTGGTGTTCTGTTTTATTTTTCTTGTTTTATCTTAATTATGTATTGTATTTCAAATACTGAATTATTTCTATTTTTAATATTCTTGTGTTTATTAAAAAAAACTATTAAGGAGTGAGAGTAAAAGGTGACTATTTCTATTTTTATTAATTTTTTATTTATTCTTGTGTTTATTAAAAAAAACTATTAAGGAGTGGGAGTAAAAGGTGACTATTTTTATTTTTATTAATTTTTTATTTATTTATCAAAGTATAGTATTTTAATTTTATTTTAAAAAATAAAATAACATGAAGTGAAGTGAAAGATGACTATTTCCGAAGATTTAAGGAGTGGTAGTGAAAGTGAAAGGAAAATGGATGGCGCCTAGGTGGCAAAGTAAAAATGAGAAATATTGTCGAAACAAAAGTCGTGTAAGTATTTGTAAAAACTTGACAATCATATTATGTTTCTTTAAAAACAAAAATTAGAGTTAATTCACATCGAAAGTAGCAACAAATGTTTAACGACATTAAAATTTTACACACTGTTCCATCCGGATCTTCTGCCAAATCAACTCGGATTTTTAACAAGCTACAATGCAAAACGAAAGACAAATATAATGATTATTATTTTTAGGATTTAATGTAACGTTCTTTCTAATTTTATGTTTATCAGGTGTTTAATGTAACTTTTTATTTTCCATTATGGTAATGTAACTTTTATTTGTTTTATTATTGAAAATTTTATTTTTTTTAGCATAATGTTGTGTTTTTATTAAAGTAATTTATTAAAAAAAAGGTATATAGATGATGTGAAATTGTGAATATTTCCTACCACTAGTAAAGGTATAGTACTATGTAGTAGTTGTGATGTTGAGATGACATTAAAAATCTTGTGGAGTATAACTAAAAACCTTATAATTATTATATATATATATTTTCTTTTTGTTTACATTTTTAATAGAGATTTAATAAAAAAAAGTTGTTAATTTTTATTTAATAAATTATTTAAAGTATTTAATGTTATCTAATTATTTGTTATTATTTTTAGATTTTATTAACTTTCATCTAATTAATTTTTTAAACTTTTCTTTGAATAGATTATATAGTGTTGTTTTTGTTTTAATAATTTGTTAATCTACATTATATAATGTTTTATTACCTTTTATCAAATACATATATATATATATATATATATATATATATATATATATATATATATATATATATATATATATATATATATACCCATTACAACTATTTCATTTTAGATGCATAACGGAAATTATTCATGTACATATTTTTTAGACTTTTAAATATCCAATGTTATATTTGAAATAATACATTTGTGGAGTCATTATAGGGCATCAGGTACCCTTCATTCAATGATACTTTTACGTAATGACAACTATTAACAATGCCAATTGCAATATAAGTGTATTGATGTCTAAGTGGCGGATATGACTGAAATGGTAAGTATGTCATACTATATGTTATGTTTAACCTATGTAATATAATATTGTATTTGGAAGAAATCATGATACCCATTTTGGCACTTAACCAATATTGATTAGGTACGGGTATATCCATCCAAAAAAAATTCAACTAGTTTTATATGTTAATGTAACATCCCGGTGTTAAGGTACTTCCAAATTCAACCCTATAATTTTATTATATCATGTTTTGGTCCCTAAGTAGAAGGAAGTGTCCATTGGAAGCCCTGGTGGCAAAATTGTAATTTGGGAGGAATGGGAGTACGCTATGCGTACGTGCGTACGCTTAGCGTACTAGGACGCGTCCTAATACGTTGGGCGTACATCAGCGTACGCGGGGCGTACTCACCAGGTTTGGAAACCCTAAATTTTAGGGTTGAGCCCCTATATAACCATCCTTATAACCTAATTTTCCCTCACCTATCCTACCTCCAATACCCTTGTGACGTTTTGCAAACCCTAACCCTTGAGTTTGTGGTTTGAGCTTAAGTGTGTGTTCTTGGTGTGTTAAAGGAAGAAAGAAGATACATTGAGGAGCCTTGGTGTGGAAGCAAGCTTGTAGATCTGGGATCTTTGCCTCCTTGGGAAGCTCCAGAAGGTATAAAGCTTTGATCTTGCCTTGCATTTGCTTAAGATCTTGTCATGAGAAGTTTTATGAGTTTTTAGTCCCTTTTCTTGGACTTAATGAGTATGAGCTACATAAGACCAAAGGAGCTGTCCTTTCAGAAGATTTGAGGTGCATTAAGTCGTAAAAATGCTATCTTGACTCATTTGGTGCTTGTATGCAAGTTATAGAGGTCTTAAGTGGTTAAGACAAACTAGGGTTTTGGTTTTGGAACTTATTAAGGCATGCATAACCATAAATTTGGAAACTTTATGGTTTGGAACACCTTTTTAGGCTTAGATCTGAATTTGGACGTTTGGACTTGTTGAATTAAGCACATAATGGAAGTTTTGCATGGCCACTGCGTACGTTGGGCGTACCATGGCGTACGTTGGGCGTAGATGGTCAACTGCCCGCTTTTGGTCAAGAGCGGAGTACGCGGGGCGTAGGAGCTAAGTATGTTGGGCGTACTCAGCTGGGTTGAATTTCTTTTGACCGTTGACTTTTGACCTAGTTTGATCTCAAGGGAATTTTGGGTATTTTGTTATGAAACCTAAGGTCTGGGTCTCTTCTTGTGTATATGTGACCTGTAGAGTTGACTCGTGGAGCAATATTCTTTTATGTTGCATGTACGAATTTGCGAGGTGAGTTTTCCTCACTATACTTGTGGGTCGAAGGCACCAAGGCCGACCCATTGGATTGATAGCATGTTATGAATGCTATTGTACTGTAGTGATCTGTTAGATCGGTATCCTGGTATATAGCATAATTCTATGCTTAGTGATCTTTAGATCTGTTTGACTGACTGTAGACTGTTATATGATTATTTATATATGTGCACATGTTTGGTCGGTGGCTGAGGCTTCACTGCTTTGTGCGTAAGCCAACAGGCCGGGGCATACCAACCCGATGGTTGAATGTGCCCGAGGGTATTCCATCCCGAGGATGATTGGACCCATAGTGTATTGGCATTCCAACATGATGGTTGAGGGGCCTGGGGTATTCCAACCTGATGGTTGATTGGATCCATAATATGTTGGTATTCCAACCCGATGGTTGAGGGGCCTGGGGTATTCCAACCCGATGGTTGATTGGACCCAGAGTATGCTGTTAGTTGTATTTGTTATCTGTTCATGTATTGGGATTTTGGGGGAACTCACTAAGCGTTGGCTAACAGTTTTGGGTTATGTTTCAGGTACTTCAGAGGATCGCGGGAAGGCGAAGGCGTGACCGTACACATCCTCATATTTTGGACTTATGTTTTGGGAACTCTGATGTTGAAATACTTTTGAAAACTATGTTTGTAAAAATTTATGAAAGTGGTTGGTTTCTAAAAGTTTAAATTTTTCATGATTTTTATGGATGTTACAAGTTGGTATCAGAGCCTTGGTTTGAGTGAATTGGAGGAACACTCTTGTGAATCCAGTCTCAAACTAAGAAAAAGATTTTAAAAATGATTTTCAAAGTATTTTTCAAATAATCAAAGAGGATGTGATGTGTACGATCAGTCGGAGCCAGTAAGTAGACCCCAAATTACCACATTTTTATTTGATATTGTGGTATGTTAGAACCGCATTCTAGTGATAGGCTAGCGATCTTCAGGAATTGCATGATAGAATTGCCTGATTACATGATGCCTGATAGCCTAGGATTCTTCTTTATATGAAATTGACATCATTATTGTAGTTGCTTAGTGTATGCATCATAATTATATATAACTAAGATTATGTAGCTTGAGAATGTTTGGTTTGGCCTTATTTCCTATTCTTGTTTGATGAAGGGCTTAGGGTAGGATCAGAGCCAGAAGGTCAGGTGCGCTCTGAACCATGCGGTGGTTGTATGACATTGAGGGTTGTTTTTTCACTTTCTCTTGCCCAGCTGACCATAAGATCAGGTGCGCTCTGAACCTTCTGAGGTCCGGAGCGAAGGATTGGTGGGGACTTGTTACGGGATCGTATTCTAATGAGCAGAGAGCTGTTGTGTCTTGGGAGAATTTTTTAGAGACGTTTCAATCTAGATATGTGCCGATGATGGAGCGTGAGAGGTTGGCTAAGGAGTATATTTGGATCTGAGGCAGGGTACGAAGTCGGTGACAGAGATCACCAAGATGTTCACGGAGAGGGCCATGTTCTATCCCGAGTTTGCTGCATCTGAGCAGGCTCAGATGACCCGTTAATTGAGCATGCTCAATACGGATAACAATCAGTTTGTATCCATTCGGCGTTATGGTACATTGCTGGAGTTGAAGGAGGCCGCCAGGCA